GGTTTGAATTCAGGGTCTGGGTGCTGTCCCTAAGCTTTGTTGCCCAAGGCTAGTACTCTACCACTTTGAGCCATAGCATTAATGCCAGTTTTATGGTGGTTAATTGGAGATAAGTATGTCATGGACTTTCATGTCTGTGCTTTGAACCACAATCCTCAGATCTCAGCCTCCTAAGTAGCTAGGATTACAGGCATGAGCCACCAGTGCCTGGCTTAATGATTTATTTTTTAACACTTCCTCCTGATATGGAGATGGTGGCAAGATGAAATTGTGAAAATAAGACCAATAGAGTGTTACATTTAAAATAAAATAAACAAATAAAAAGTTTTTCATTAATATGCCAAATAAATAGGCATGACAGCATTTTGTAATTTTCAGGCTAAGTCAAGGGAAGTAATAATTGTAAAATTCTTATCTTTGCTAAGATGTTTAAAAAATACTTTCTGCTACTTGTTAAAGACTCTTTGACTTGGAATCTAACCTGTGAGAATCAAATTGAAGTGTTAAACTAGCCATGAGTAAATGCTGATATAGCTCTCCTATGTGTTTAAAGAAATAGAAATGATTAGTCAATGAAGCAAATGCATTGAAAATAATTTCTAAAGTCAGAAACATACTGTGACCATAGGAAAATCTCTAAGATGGATTGATTCAAGTTTGCTATCAGACTCTGGCAAAGAGATGTTCTATATTTAGCCTACCTAACTCCCTTGTTTGTTTTATCCCATCTCTCTGTCATCACCATTAAATAACTACGTTAAGGTCTACATACTTTCTGTTTAGGTTGATTAGTTTAAACCAAATCTCAGAGGAAACTATAGAAAAGAAAAGAAGTCAAGACAGCCCATTAAGGAGTGTGAATCTAGGGGTGTAGTTTCATGACCACTGAATAATTCAGAGGAAGTCAATTTCATAGGTTCAGGGCTACTGGGTCTGTGATAAGCTTTTAAGGTGCAAAAGTTCAGATCCAGACAGATTGTGTCCTTTATACTAGATAACAATCTTAAACAGATAACTAATGGGCACTGAAAGAATATTAACTTCACTTTCCATACTTTGCAAATGTGGACTTGCTTCCAAGTTTACCCCAAGGCTACTATACAGCCTAAAAAATAAACAATCAATGTTACCTCAATAACTCTTCTTGATGGGCACTTGGAAAATTGCGGGCATTTTATTTTTATTTTTTGGTCATGGGGCTTGTGTTGGAGTACTGTCCGTCAGCTCTTCAGCTCACGGCAAGTGCTCTACCACTTGAGCCACAGCACCACTTCCAGTTTTCTAGTGGTTTATTGGAGATAAGAGTCTCACGGATTTCCTGTCCAGGCTGGCTTTGAAACGTGATTTTGAAACGTGATTCTCAGATCTCAGCCTCCTGAGTAGCTAGGGTTACAGACATGAGCCACTGGCACCTGGCTCTAAATTTGTTTTATAAGAACACCTATTGCATGCTGCACGTGTGCTGAATTTTAAGGTCAGCCCCATCTGTCCTGAATCTCTGAATTATACATTGTCATCCACACAACAGGTATGAAAAAACTGAAGCAATCCAATGATGGCTCAGAGTAACAATTCCTAAGCACTCTTTCACACATATAGGTCTTTCTCTTCATTAAAAATTGTGCTTTTGGATTATTTTTATCTACCAAATGACATCTGATCCTTCAATTGCCTTGATGATCTTCAATACATTGTTCTTCTAGTGTTCAAGCTCCAAAAATGTTTTACATCCAAACCTTTTCTCAAATATAATCTAAATTCTTTTTTAAAAAAAAACAACCTTTCAGCTATTCTAATTAATATGGAATACAGCATTGCATTAGTGGCACGAATTATTCATATAGACATGAATAATTAACATACATAATTTATACCCACCTTCGCAACAAAGATAAGTTAGACATGAGAAAATGAAGCAAGCATAAGATTAGGACAGTAAGTTGGAACTAGGAATGAATTTATATGCAGATTCAAACCCCAGAATCTTGCAATGTTCTTGTATAAGCCTTCAAAAGGTTATACAGGAATGGGAAATATCAGTTAAAAGGTGAGTTATTTGTGGTTAAAATAGATGTCATGTGGACATACCTCTCCAAGGAAGGAAGTGACCACAGTGTGGTTCTGGGTGGTAGTGGAACACATTCAACTTCCTATTGAGGAAACACCTGAATTTTGTCAATTATTTCTGATATGATAGCTCTACAATTTCCTCTAAGAAACTACTAAGCTACCTTGTTTTTTTTTTATTGAGACTGAATGTTGTTTGAGGAGTTATTGTTTGAAAAGTTCCAACACTCAAACTGTACAGCAGGGTTCTTACAAGTGGTATTATGCTGAAGGGTCTTTGTCCACTGAAAACTTTAAAATATCAAACTCAATGAGGCAGAGAAGGAAACTTGTTGAAATCATTTATTAATGAAGGATCTTTAGGTTCTTTAAGCATTTTTTCATTTGGCTCTTAGTTCTATTTATAATTAATACTAGAGCTTTAGGTCAAGACAATGTTATCATGCATTGCTCTCAGCCTGTTATAGAAGAGAGCCCTGCCCACAAGATTCTAGTGGCTGAAGCAAAATTATATTAAACACTGGCTGGATATAGGTCAACATAGAAGGACTTAAAGATGACAACATTCTTCTACATTTTGCATATGATATCTTGAGCTTCTGTTTTCTTCTTTGCGTCAGATGGTGATTCAGACTCAAAAGTTCTCTCCCCAAGTCCAGTGCTGTGTGTCTTCTGAACAGCTAATGAACTGTTTAACAAATTGAATTGTAATGTGTTTTATTGAGGGAGAGGAGTCAAAGAAGGGGCACATGAATGGAGGGGGGAGTTCTAAAACAGTCATTATATTCAGTGTTCATTATGTAACTCGAGGATGGGATGAGATGGAGACAGATGAAGGGGTAATGTTGATTATGATGCATTGTTCTATACCCACAATCTGACTCATGGAATTGAACCCTCTTGTACAACTATTGAAAAAGATAAATAAATCATAAAGGTGAAAAAAGAGAGGGCAAGTGAACTTTATGGACCTACTAAAGTATTACAAAGGAAAGTTAATTCTCTCTCCATAGAGAATCTGAAAATAAATTCTCCATATAGTGTGCAAATATATACATATATATACACAGTTTTCTTACATTTTCATACACGGGCCTATTGTACATGGTCCAATATTGTGTTAATCTGAATAGTTCTAAATACTTCATTCCTCCATATCAATGATAAATAAATATAAGATAAATGTAATGAAAATAATACAGCAACAAGAATAAAATTTATTCTGTAATAATTGTATGCTGAGCAGTATGTTCATCATTTTATTTATGTTAATTCATTTAACAAGCACTCAATGAGATAGGTTCTATTACTTTATTGATTTTATTAATGAAGGATCAAAGGCACTGAGAAATTAAGGAACTTGCCCAAGGTCAGAAGGCTGGGAAGGAACAAATCAGAGAACCCAATCCCCATATGACTTAAGATGATGTTTTACTTTCTTAACCACACTGGTCACCATGAGTTGAATGGTAGGTGAAATTTCTCAGAGAATAGGCTTACCTCTGAAAGCAAAGGGAAAAGTGTTATAGAGAACATCTTACATGCATGGATTAAGGAGTTTGCTTGACTGGTGGTAGAAATTCCTTTAAAGAGGACATTTTTATCCTGCAATAATAAAGGAAGGCATGAGAAACCTTTAGGGTATTTGAATTATGGAACTTGTTTATTCCCACACATAAAGTGAGTTTACAGTCAGCACTTCAAAAAAGCCAACTACTACAGGAATCACACAGGTACAGACAGGAACAGTTTTGAAGTTGACTCATGAGGCCTGACATAGCATGGCTTCTTCTTCTTCTTTTTTAATCAGGCACTATTTCTTTTGACAAGCCTTAGACTAGTCCTCTGTAGACTCTGTGTTAGTAATAATAGAAGGGAAGGATTAAGTCTAGAATACATTGTGTTGCTTTTTTAATTTCTCCCTTGCTTGCGTTAGGTGATAGGATTTTGGGCCTATGCAGCTATGACATTTTCTTAAAATGTACTATTCCCATTCCCCTAGTATTTTCCTTACTTGCAGACAGCAGTGTAGAGCCAGTGTGTGGTGCTTCTTTAACATTTTATTTTTCAAGTCCTTTGTGGAACATAAACATTCCTAATGCCTTTTTCCTTTTCCCTTAAGCTTTATGGTTAGAATTTTACAAGTCAACTTTGCAGGGCTGGGAAGCAGATAAACAGTTTTGCCTGTTAGATAAGATGTTTGTAAATAATAATAAAAACCAAAAACCATTGGCAGCAATTAAATAATGTCCAAGGGCCAAAGTAATTTCTCTCTTCATAGTGGCTATGTTACTCAAAATGGATAGGAACTATGTTAAAGAAATTATATCCACTTAATCAGTTTCTCTTTCAGATTTAAAATCATAGTAAGATGAGAGTTACCATGATTTATTAAAACTACCTATGGAACTTATTTATTATTATTTTGCTAGTCATGGGGCTTGAACTTAGAACCTGGGTGCTCTTCCTGACTAGCACTCTGTCACTGTGAACCACAGTTCCACTTCTGGTTTTTGGTGGTTAATTAAGGAAAAGAGTCTCACAGACTTTCATGTCTGAAGCAAGATGGGTCTTGATTTGAACTGTGATCTTCAGATCTCAGCCTCCTGAGGAGCTCAGATTACAGGACTGAGCCACTGACACCTGGAATAATTTTTATGTATAAATTTTTGTCTCCATCCTTCCCTGATCTTTTCTTGGAGTCTAATCTCCAATCTTGTCAGTAATGATTTTAAGAGAAAGGAGGAATTTCTTAGTGCCACATTTGATTGTATTTCTTGCTTTGTACCTTGGTGGTATGTTTGTTTGAATTGGTAAACTGTTGGATTCAGAGTAGCAGGTCTAACATTTTTCATCTCCTATTTTGAAAATGCTCTAAATGCAATGAAGGATGAAGAGAAGTAAGATAACTCGCCTTTCCTTCTCCTTTTTAGATGGAAAGGTTGAAGTGACAAAAGAAGGTGTGAAGCTGTGCACTATGGGGCCTGGGAAGGTGTTTGGAGAGCTGGCTATCCTTTACAACTGTACCCGGACAGCCACCGTCAAGAGTAAGACAGTTGCATGCTTTGCAAATGCTTTGCCTTATGTTCCTTCTCTAAACCTATGATGTATTGATTTAAATGTCTATTAGTTTTAAGATTTTAAAATTTATTAATTCATATTCTGCTCTTTACCTTAGAATACAGTGTTTTTCTAATAAAAGCTGACTGTTAGCAATCAGTTCCATATAATGTACATTTTATTTTTTAATATAAACTTTACAAATTCTTTAACTGGAAATTAGAATTCTCAACTGAAATTAAACTTTAAGAATTCTTGTAATTAGAACTTTTTTAATGATACCATTCTATAAATTAGAATTAGATGGGGGAAAGTCGTTACTTTTTCCTGGATTTAAAGACTGGAGATTGTGTGTGAGAATTTCTTTTACATTCTCTACATGAATCTCACTTGTTGATTCAGTCGTTTAGGAAAAGCAAGAGGGAAATTGTCCTTTGTCTCATTCAATCATCCTGGAGTAAGATTTATCCTGAATTCCAAAATTGTATCTGAGTATATTTTTGTCTTCAGCTGCTCATCAAGCTGAATATTATAGCATTTTTCTTTACTACTGATTGAGCTTATTTTAAATCAGGCAATAAAGCAGCTTTCCCCCCCTAATTTTACATATATGTGTATGTGTGATTTCTCTAGCAACTTTTGTTGCTTAGTAGATACAGCTGCAACCAAGGGAGTTTTTCTAATTGTCCTTCCTGAGTAGGATACAATAATTATATAACAAACAGAACTGAATCCCACGGCCAACAGTGGAAAGTTCATTGCATCTTTAGGCAGATGTGTACTTTAAATCAGAAAAGTCTTTCTGACACATTTTCTTATGATTTCAATTACAAATTGCTTAGATTAGATTTTGTTTCGCAAAGCTCTTTATATATACATGTGTTGTCTGGTTCCTTTCTAGTTGTAATAAATCCCAAGGCTTCTTTAACAATTAAACTCTGTTGACAAACTTACAAGTTAGTACAACAGTTCATTTCATCTGGATTCCACTGACTAGTTTGTATGTTTGTCTCTCAAAAGTACAACATATAACTGTCATTCTGACATTTTAACATGGGTTGTGAGGAATTTGAGATGCATGGCTATCTAGAAACCTAGACATTATCATTATTTCTTATTAGTGAGTCACTGCTTTACCACTGAAATCACTGTGGTAGCTGTTGCACTGGAGTTGGATAGGATGTAGTTTTAATCTCAGACAGAAAGAACTCTTTGATTGATATACTTTGCCCTGTATTAATTTTGTGAGTATTTAATTATATGATTCAAAGAAATAATAAGGCCTAGTGAACCCTAGCAGAAATTGCCACAACTTTAACTCACTTATAAAGTACCTTAACTAGAAAAAAATGAGTAGTCATGGTTCCATTAAGTAAAATACATTATACTCTTATGCTTCATTTTCATGAGAAATATATTCCTCTTATGTAAAATAAAGAGCCTAAATCACACATTTTGATTAAAATGGCCTTTCTTACAATAGTGAATACTTTTTGTTTTAAAATATTTCAAGTTTTAAAAATAATTTAGCTGTGTATACTGTGTTTACTGAATTAAATTGAAACTACAGAATTTCCAAAGGCCAACATTTGGTAATAACACAGTACTTAATCTTAGGAAATGTTGAATTCTTTTTAAAGGAATATTTAAACTAGAGTAGTGTAATTTAAATGATTTCAAAGCTGAGTTTTTTTTAAATAAGATAACTTCTTCACAAGGTCAGTTTTAGTGCTGAGGTTCTATATAATGGTGTACATCTTCGCTGACATCAGTCTATTCGTGGTTGTGCACAATGAACTCGGCACTATGCATCAGATTCAGTAAGAAGAAGCTGGTGTTGGATGAAAACTATAATAACTATTTGGGAGTAGGAACAACTATCATCAAAGGAAATGAGTAATAAAAGATGTTCTTTAACAGACTCTGAGATGTTCAAGAGTATGCCTGGGCATACTCTGGGAATTATATGGAGAAAAGAAACTAGGTTTATGGTATTTACTAAAACTCTGCTTTTGTATGTACAACATTATTATTATTATTGTTTTTATTACTTTGTCGGTCATGAGGCTTGAACTCAAGGCCTGGACGCTCTCCCTGGGTCATGAGGCTTGAACTCAAGGCCTGGACGCTCTCCCTGGGTCATGAGGCTTGAACTGAAGGCCTGGTCGCTCTCCCTGGGTCATGAGGCTTGAACTCAAGGCCTGGACGCTCTCCCTGAGCCTTTTTGCTCAAGGCTACTGCTCTACCACAGCTCCATTTCTGGTTTTCAGATGGGTCATTGAAGATAATCTCACAGACTTTCCTGCCTGAGCTGGCCTCGAACTACAATATTCAGCTCTCAGCTTTTTGAGTAGTTAGGATTACTGGCATGAGCGGTAACAGTGCCTGGCTTGTGCAGGGATTTTTGAGACTGAGTAAGGAAGAGTATTTGTGATGAACTCTTTGTTTGAATGTGGCATCAGAACTATAGGTATGAATAATGATTATTTATTGTTCACAACCATTTATTCTAGTTAGCTCCTCTTCTATGCAGGGTAATACACACATGACTGTAAGCCTTAAGTACCGGTTTTCTTTTCTTTTCCTTTCTTTCTTTCTTTCTTTCTTTCTTTCTTCCTTCCTTCCTTCCTTCCTTCCTTCCTTCCTTCCTTCCTTCCTTCCTTCCTT